GTCCAGTATGACTGGTGTCCTTAAAAGAAAAGAAAAAGGCACCAGAGCTCCCCCAACATAACCCAACCCTTGAAGCATGCACAGAAAAGGACACGTGAGGACACAGCAAGAAGGTGGCAGGTACAAGCCAGGAAGAGAGGCCCTACCAGAAACCAACCCTAAAGGTGCCTTGATCTTGAACTTCTAGCTTCCAGAAATGTGAGTATATAAATTTCTGTTTAAGCCACACAAGTCTGTGGTACTTTTTTATGGCAACCCTGGGAAACTAATACAAGTGGGAAATTTCAGCTTCACCCCTGACTTCTGAAGAGGAAAGGGACACTGGAGATTCAGCTCTATAAAAACTCCTGAATGAGATTTGGGGAACTTCCAAGGTTGGTGTACATATAGAGGTGCTAGGAGAAGTCATGGAAGCTCTGCATCTCCCCTCTTCCCCAAACCTTGTCCTATGTATCTCTTCCATACAGGTTCTTCCTGAGTTGTATCCTTTATAATAAATCAACAGGTAAATGTAAGTAAAACACCACAAAGGTCCAGAAAGCCAGCTGAAGGAAAAAAAAAAAGGTAAGTAAAATGTTTACCTGAGTTCGGTGAGCCTTTCTTGTAAATTATCAAACCTGAAAGTGGGGTCATGGGGATGCCTGACATTGTAGCCATGTTGGACAGAGTACAGGTAGCCTGGGGACCCAGGACTTGTGACTGGCCTCTGAATTGAGGGCAGTCTTATGGAGTTGAGTCTAATTCTGAGTAGTAGAGAAAGGGACTAGAGCGAGGAATGGACAGCTAAGTACTGGGGAGAATGATTTCAGCCACCACTATATCTCCAACACCGGGATCAGCCCTTGAAATGTCTGAAAAGGAATTCTGATTAACAATTTTGAAGAAACTCAGTGAGATACAAGAAGACTGTTAGACCATACAATGAAATGAGAAAAACAATCCAGGGCATGAAGGAGGAAATTTGCAAAGAGATATATACCATAAAAAAGAATGTAGCAGAACTCCTGGAACTCACTCATTCTACAAAATAAAAACTATAATTAAGAACATAAGCAGCAGACTTGAGCAAGTGGAAAAATGTCTGATCTTGAAGATAGTCTTTTTGAAATAATCCAAATGGACAAAAATAAAAAAGTAAATCTAAGACAGCTGGCAGACAACCTTAAATGCACAAACATCTGAATCATGGGTGTTCCAGAGGGAGAGAAGAAAGAAAAGGCATTGAAAACATATTCAGTCAAATAATAACAGAATACTTCCCAGGTATTGGTAGAGATATGGACTTCTAGATGTAAGAGGCTCAAAGATCCCCAAATAGATCCTCTCCAAGACACACTAGTCAAAAGTCAAAAACAGAGAGAGAATCCTAAAAACAGCAAAAGCATCAAGTCATCTATAATGGAGTCTCTATCAGACTAACAGCAGACTTCTCAGCAGAAACCCTACAGGCTAGAAGAGAATGGGATGATATATTCAGAGTACTGAAAGAAAAAAATCTGCCAACCAAGAATATTATATCCAACAAGGCTACCTTTCAGAAATGAATGGGAAATAGTGTATTTCCCAGACAAACAAAAGCTGTGGGAGTTTACCACAACATGACCAGACCAGGTCCACAAGAAATCCTTAACGGAGTCCTGCACCTGGAAACAAAAACAATGATAAACACCACCATGAATACATAAGAAAGAACAAACACCACTGGCAGAATAGATATGAAAATGAGAAAGAGAAACTACACCACACCACCTCAAAAACCAATGAACACCAAAGATAAACAATAAAAGGGGAAGAAACAAGATATTTAAATCAACCATACAAAAAGCAGTTGCATGTCAGGAGTAAGGCAGTAATCTTCAATAACAATCCTAAATGTAAAGGACTAAATTCAGACAGAAGACTTTAAACCAAAAACCATAAAAAGAGACAAAAAAAGCCATTACATAAGGAAAAGGGATCTATCCAGCAAGAAGACATGATAATCATAAATATGTATGCACCCAACACCAGAGCACCCAGATATATAAAGCAAATGCTATCAGGCATAAAGAGACAGACCCCACCACTATGATAGTAGTACAGGACCTGAACACCTCTCTCTCTGCATTGGACAGATCGTCTAGGCAACAAATCTACAGACACATACAAGATTTAAACTACACTTTACTAAATGGACTTGGCAGATATCTACAGAACATTTCATCTAACAACTACAGAATATACATTCTTCTCATTAACACATGGAACATTCTCCCAGATAGACCACATGTTAAGTCACAAATGAAGTCTAAACAAATTTAAAAAACTGAAATCGTTTCAAGTATCTTTTCAGACCACAATGGATTAAAACTAGAAATCAATAAAAAGATACACTCTGAAAACTATACAAACACATGAAAATTAAACAATATGCTCCTAAACAACTATGGGTCCAAGAAATTAAACAGGAAATCAAAAAATCTCTTGAAACTAATGAAAATAAAGACACATCATACCAAAACCTGTGGGATACAGCAAAAGCTAAGAGGGAAGTTTATTGCAATAAACACTTACACCAAAAGAATAGAAAGATTTCAAATAAACAGCCTAACATCACACCTCAAAAAACTAGAACGACAAGAACAATCCAATCCCAAAATTAGTAGATGAAAAGCAGTAATTAAGATCAGAGCAGAACTAAATGAAATAGTGACCCAAAATGACACAAAAGATCAATGAAACAAAGAGTTGGATTTTTGAGAAGATAAAGAAAATAGACAAACCATTAGCTGGGTTGACTAAAAAAAGAGGAAAGAGCAAAATAACACAAATCAGAAATGAAAGAGGAGACATTACAAATGAAACCACAGAAACACAAAGAATCATGATCCTGTATATAGAAAAACCTAAAGACTCTACTAAAAACTCTTAGAGCTGATAAACAATTTCAGTAAAGTTACAGGATACAAAATCAACACCCCCAAATCAGTAGTGTTTTTATACTCCAATAACAAACTAACAGAAAAAGAAATCAAGAAAGCAAGCCCATTTATAATAGTCACAAAAACAAACAACCAATAACAACAATGGAATCAAGTTAACCAAAGAGGTGAAAGATCTCTACAATGAGAACTACAAATCGCTGCCAAAAGAAATTAGAAAGGACACAAAAAAATGGAAAGGCATTCCTTGCTCTTGGATTGGAAGAATTAACAATGTGAAAATGCTCGTACTGCCCAAAGTGATCTACAGATTCAGTTCAATCCTCATCAAAATACCAATGGCATCCTTCACAGAAATAGAAAAAACAATCCTAACATTCATATGGAACAACGAAAGACGCCAAATAGCCAAAGCAATCCTGAGTGAAAAATAAATAAATAAATAAAGCCAGAGGCATTACACTACCTGATCTTAAATTATATTACAAAGCTATAGTAACCAAAACAGAATGGTAGACCAATGTCTGACCAGTTGGTCAGACACACAGACCAATGGAACAGAATACAGAACCCAGAAATCAACCCACATACTTACAGCCAACTGATCTTTAACTAAGGCACCAAGAACATCCATTGGGGAAAAGACTGCCTCTTCAATAAATGGGGCTGGCAAAATTGGACATCTTTATGTAGAAGAATGAAAGAAGACCCATACTTCTCACCATATACCAAAATCAACTCAAAATGGATTAAAGACAAACATAAGACCTGAAACTGTAAAACTCTTAAAAGAAAACATAAGAGAAACACTTCAGGAAGTAGGACTCAGCAAAGACTTTATGAACAAGACCCCAAAAGCACAGGCAACAAGAGAAAACATAAACAAATAGGATTATATCAAATAAAAAGCTTATGCACAGCAAAAAATAAAAAATAAAAAAATAATTAACAGATTGAAAAGATGATTTACAGAATGGGAGAAAATATTTGCAAAGTATGCATCCAGCATTAATATCCAGAATATACAAGGAATTCAAACAACTTAACAGCAAAGTAACCCAATTCAAAAATGGGCAAAAGAGCTGAATAGACAGTTCTCAAAGGAAGATACACAAATGGCCAATAGATACATGTAAAAAATGCTCAACATCATTAAGCATCAAGGAAATGCAAAACATAACCACACTGTGATACCATCTCACCCCAGTTAGACTGGCTACTATCAAAAAGACAGTGAATGAGAAATGCTGTTGAGGATGTGGAGAAAAGAGAACCCTGCTACACTGTTGCTGAGACTAAATTTGTGCAGCCATTATGGAAAACAGTATGAAGCTTCCTCAAACAACTACAGATAGAACTGCCATATGATCCAACAATCCCACTGCTGGGTATATACCCAAAGGAATGGAAATCATCATGTTGAAGGGATATCTGCACTCCCATGTTTACGGCAGCTCTATTTACAATAGCCAACAGCTGGAACCAACCTAAATGTGGTATATATACCCTATGGACTCTACTGTCACACAAAAAAATAAAATTCTGCCATTCACAGCGACATGGATGGAATTTGAGAAAATTACATGAAATAAGCCAAGTACAGAAAGAGAAATACTGCATGTCTTCACTCATACGTGGGAGGTAGAAAACATAAACTAATAAATTTTAAAAAACGAAAGAAAGATACAGCAATCACAATAATATGCTGAACTTACAAAAGAAGAGAACAGAACTGAGATTACCAGAGGTGGGAAAGGGGGAGGAAAGGGGAGTAAGCGAGAAATTGGTAAAGGGCCAGAAAAAATGATTACATTGTAATATACTAATTAATTATCATGATTTGAGCATCCTATATTGCACACAGGTATTTATATTCAACGTGGTGTGCCATAGATATGTACAATCAATTATGTTTCAATAAAAAAAAATAATTCTGGGTAGTGTCAGAAGAGAATTGAGATGGAGTTGATTTTGTACAATTGGAGAATCAGATGTGGTATCTGAAGACATCCCATTTAGTATAACAAGTTTTAATGGTATTTGATATTTAGAATTACAAAGAAATACTAAATTCACAAATTTTGGTTGTTATTTTATTTCATATTTATATTTTCTGAGATCTCTATTAATATAATCTAATAAAAATTGGGTGGATAACTTTACACAGTTCAAAATCAAGACAGGACTTTTTTCATTACAGTAAATACATGAAGTATACATTATTATATGAAGTAAAAAAAGTTCCTGGAAAGAATATAAAAAGGTACACTAATAAGCATTGAACAGACAATTTTTATTTAAGTTCCTTTTCAAAATGCATGCACATGAAGTGAGATTGTATACAATAAACCAAAGTCTACCTAGAGACCAGCAGAGTCATATAAAAATAATTCAAGACAAGCTTTATGGATTTATTTTAAATAAGACAGCTGAAATGTGGGGTCGGAATTGAACAAGAATTTTCAAGAAATTTCATGCAGTTGTATAATGGAAGAATATAAATATCAAAATTTTGACTGTTACTGTGCAAAACTGAAAGCAAATGCTTTCCAAGTTGTAGTAAAATTTATTACTCTAACAGCATAATACCATTAAGTCTACAAAGCCACTGGCCACTTGTTTGATGGTATCCATGTCCTACAGTATTTTCTTAATGTAAATTTTGGAACATTCTGAATATTTTATAAGCCCACTTTTCTATCACTGGAAAAATATTGAAATTCCAAGGAATTTCTGTTACTTTAATTTTAAGGGATCAAAATAAAAAAACAAATGTATTTTTCTAGGTTAATGTAATTCAAGTACAGTGGTACTAAGGACAACATAATTTTAATAAAACCAAATCTATTTGAGAAAAAGGAAATCATAAAGAAAAACACAAACTACTATTAGAATCAGGTGCATAGATTTAATATAGGAACACTTATTTTTATTTTCACTGGAAAAATGTTAAAGCCCTTTCTCTTTTTTGAAGCTTAAATAGTGGATTATGTTCTAGTTACTCAATGGTTAATTATGTTTCTATAGCAATCTCTTTACTTATTATACTTGCCAATGTGTTCACGGGCTATAATAAGCCTTTGAATTTGCGCAGTACCTTCATAAATCTGCAAGAAAAATAATGTATGTTAAATATCTTCAACACATAAACATCCTAATTTATTCAATATTTTGGACAGTAGTATAAGCTCCACTGTAATACCAAACTGAATCACATCATATACATTTATGTGTTGCTTAACAACAGAGATAAATTCTGAGAAAATCATCACTAGGGGATTTCGTCACTGTGTAAACACAGAGTGTACTTACATAAACTTAGATGTATAGCCTACTATACACTGAAGCTATATGGTATAGTCACTGTTGTATATGCAATCCTTTGTTGACTGAAACGTCTTTATGCAACAGTTGGCTGCATATGGTCTGTAGCCTATAGAGATTCTGAAATCTGGTTTTGTGAAACCCATGAAAATAAATAATTGTCTAAAGATTAGTTTAAATTATTATAAAAATCATTTACCAGAATTTTGTAGAAGAGTCTTCAAAACATTAAAGGAAAGGATATTTACATTTGAAAAAGTTTGGGAAAACTAAAGTTTAATGTTGCCAAAGTATTTATCCAACTTTTCTTTTCTGAACTGTTCTGAACTAGCTGTCACCTTCAGTCATTTTCTATTCTTACTCTTAATCCTGATTTTTCCTCCTGCTACCTAAGGTACAGAGTTGCTAAATAAGAAGGTGCTGGAAGGATTTGGTTTTAGTCACCTACATATTCCTAGTACTCAACCTTCATTTCCATTCTAAATATCTAAACCTATCTGTTAGTTCATCTTCTCAGAAAGCAGAGAAAACTTAAATAGTTGATAACAGTAATAATTATAATTATATGTTTCAGGACAGGGAGAATATCACCAGATAAACTTGTGACTTTGGATAAGACATAAATTCTAGTCTTCAGTCTTTTTCATGTCTAAATGGAGGGGCTGTAAAATATCTAATATTTCTTCTCACTCTAGTATTCTGATTCTACCTCAAGATTTTAAATGAATGACAGACTTGTCAAATAATTCTCTTGGGGGAAGGAAGAAAGAAAAGAGATTTAGGAGCATGGGTTATAATTACTTAAGCCACAAGTGGAGAACATGTGTATTTATATCTTACTAAATTTCTATGTAAGATTTTCTAACCACTGATTTAATTTAGAAGTCATCTACATTACTGTCTTCTCATGTTGGTTTAAGACTCCAAGAATGTTTTCAATTAACTCATGAGTTGTCAGGCAAGATTCAAAACAAAATAATTACTTTTAAATGATATGCATACCTTCTGGAGGGAAAGTGTAGGTTACAATTAGCTGGAATGTTAAAACTCAAAAGCCTGATCCAGACATACTATACATGTTTGTACCACTTACTTCGTTTGCTTCTTTGTTATTCTCTTTCAAGACCTATACTTAATAAAAAATAGCATTCTTCTTTGTGCTAATTATTTCCAACCACCATCTCACCAACTGGCTAATAAGCCATCTATGATAGTCATTTACTATTCCTAGTGCCATAAAATCCCTAAATAATGAGAAATCTCTTCTGTCATTTATGAATATTCTATCCCCTAACGAACAACAAAAAATCATTTTTAACCTTACCTGATAGATCTTTGCATCCCTCATTAGTTTTTCTACAGGATATTCTGTATTAAATCCATTGCCCCCGAAAATCTGCACAGCGTCACTAGCCAACTGATTTGCAATATCTCCAGCAAATGCCTTTGCAATAGAAGCATAATAGGTATTTCGGCGACCGGAATCAACCTCCCAAGCTGCTCTCTGGTAACTCAGTCTAGCTAGTTCAACTTTCATTGCCATTTCAGCCAGCAAAAATGATATCCCTTGGTGCTAGAATTAAAAAGAAAAAAGTTCAGGGACATCTACTGACAAGATTTAGAAGTTTTTCTCATAGAACTTTTTTTTTTTACTCTTTATTTTGAACTAATTTTAGACTTACAGAAAAGTCAGACCCAGCTTCCTGATGTTAACATATAAAAATCCATAGTACAATGATCAAGGACAGGACATCAACACTGGTACAATACTCATCAACTAAACTACAGACTTTACTCAAATTTGGCCAGATTTTCCACTAATGTCTTTTTCTTTTCCAGAATTACACGTGAATTTAGTTATTTCTCCTTAGTCTCTCCCAGGCTGTTACAATTCCCCAGTCTTTCCTTGTCGTTACCCTTTGTACTTTTGAAGAATACTGATTGGTTATTTTTTGTTGGGTGTCGCTCAGTTTGGGTTTGTCTGTTTTCTCAGGACTAAAATGAGGTTGTGCATTTTGGGCACAAATACTACAAAAACTATATGTGTCCTTCTGAGTGTCTGCTGGGACTGTTTAAAGAGAATTGCTACAGATAGAGAAAAATAACATGGCATTGTATCAGATACTGACAGGGAAAGGACAAATAAAAGATGCTTCTTATCCTCTAGAGGCTCATAATCAAATAGGAGACATAAGACAAATACTTTCAATAAGGGATAATAAGTGCTCTCTGAGTTATATGACCAAAATATTTTATAGGATGGAAATATGTTCACCACATACTGTTACTTGTGAAATTTTCAAATATTTGGTTTGGTTATAATTTTGGAAAAATATACTTATGGAAAAAATACAGAAAAAAAAAGAATATAGAGCAAAATGTTCACTGTAATTATCTCTGGACAATGGGATTATGGCTGAGTTTTACTACACGGTTTTACTTATATAGTTATCATATAGATTATTCCACAATAAAATAGAAATATGCTTTAAAATAATATACATTAGGGCTGGCCCCATGGCTCACTCAGGAGAGTGCGGCGCTGGTAGCACTGAGGCCGCGGGTTTGGATCCTATAGGGATGGCCGGTGCGCTCATTGGCTGAGCGTGGTGCAGGCAACACCAAGCCAAGGGTTCCGATCCCCTTACCGGTCCAAAAAAATATATACATTAAAAGAAGTCCTTTAGGCATTGTGAAACAGTAACATTAAGATGATTAGAAACCTGTTTCATTTATCAGGCAACATCAAAATGGGTTCTGAATTCTTAGGAGGTTATAAAAACCACAAATTCTGTGACTGAGTACTGACTAACATGAACCAAAGGTCACAAAAAATAAAACAAAAAAACTGAGCTGTTCAATTTCACATATTTATTATATTTAGTAACATAAACTTGGTCACACTGCTTTAGAATGTGACAAGTTGTTCCAGAATGGCACAGTAATTAAGTCTTCGAAGAGGCATAATTATCTAATGTGAATAACTCCTATGTTGAACAAGGAGAGCAATATCTCCCCTTATTTTCTACCTGCCTGAATTGTGCCCATTCTTCTAAGCCAATAAGTCTTTCAAGGTTTTTCTTTTTACATTTTCATTTTACATTTTGAATAGGTAATACATTCACCAGTTCAAAGGTCAAAAGGTATGAACGAATACACATGAAAAGTTTTCCACCTACTTCTCTTTATCATCCCTGCCCTCCTCCCATCCCACTTAGGTTCCTCTTCCAGGAGGTAATCTATGGTATCACTTTGTTTTTTATGTGTATAAACCACTTTGGTTTATACACATAAGCAAATAGACCTATAGTCTTCCCTTTTTTTTTCACACATATGCTAGCATACCAGGTTAATGGGTCTTCATTTTGCTTTTCTTATCAATAAATCTGTGAGAGCTTTCTGTATCAATACATAAAGAACTTATATATATTTTTTATAGTTGCAAAGTATTCATCCATTCTATGGATGATCAACATTTTAGTTGTTTCTGTATTTAGTTGTTTCTATACAATGCTGAAATGAAGGGTAAATATCATATGGAATATGGCTATAGGATTACCTTTGTTATGTGGGCCCCAAGGTAGGTATCTTTGATATATATTGTCGAATGTGGTTCATAAAAGTTACACCAATTTATATTCCTATCGACAGTATGTACAAATGCTTATTTCTCCACAGGCTGTCCTGGTAATCTGGTATATAATAAGTTTTTTTAGGATGTCCACACTCGTTTTGAGACTTCAATTAAAAATATCTGGGGGTATGCTCAAATTTATGTGTTTTTAATGAATACTCCAAATGAGTCCCCTGGTAATCTGGTATATAATAAGTTTTTTTAGGATGTCCACACTCCTTTTGAGACTTCGATTAAAAATATCTGGGGGTATGCTCAAATTTATGTGTTTTTAATGAATACTCCAAATGAGTCTCCTTCAGTTGGTTTTCAGCCACACTTGAAAAACTCTGTTCTAAACACAGTTTAGATTCCCTGTAGTGTGTCCAGCCCACAAAAATCTCTCCTTTTGCTTTCTGAAACCTTTTTTATAGCTCTTATTTTGAGATCTAAATCTTATATTGCTCTATATTATTTCTGAATTTTTTAATGATATATCTTATCTCCAAAGTAAGGTTAAAGGTTCCTGAGGGTAGAAACTATGTCAAACCTATTTTCTATCCCTGGGAATAGCACATGTGGCATGTAAAAAGCATGGGCTCTTTAAATCTTGGTTCCATCATGTATTAGCTGGGCCTAATATTTTTATATGTGATAAATAGAAAAAATGCTATTTACTCCATGGTACTGAGAGGATTAGATAAGTTAATACATGTAAAGCATGTAGAATAGTGCCTAGAACAGAGAAATTATCCAATTATTAGTATTTTATTGTAGTAGAGGTTCAATTACTATTTGTTGACTGAATGAAATAGTTCAGAGTACAGGAATATAAGTTTCTAAAAACAGAAATTCCCTACTTATATGGAATTTACATTCTAGTTGAGAGTGTGAGGGAGACAATAAACAAACACATATATGATATAATATTGGATAGTGATAAGAACTGTGAAGAAAAAAGGGCAGAATTCTTTACTGAAAGGAATGATGAAGTGAAATTTGAACAAAGTGGAAGAGCTATCCTTAAGGATATCTGGGGGAAGAGCAAAGGTAAGGAAAACAGCAAAAATGTCCATGTGGTTGATAGAAGACCACTGTAAAGACTTTAGATTTTAATCTGAGTGTGATGAGAAAATACTGGAAGAAATATGAGCACAAAATGGTTAAGGAAGAGGGAAGGAACAGAAAGTTAGAGTTGAGGTTTGAGATTCCTATTGGAAATCAAATGGAGATATTGAGGAAGTATTTGAAAATTCAAGAGTGATGCTCAGAAAAGAGATCAGGGTGGAGATATAACTATACTAATCAACACATATTTTATCTTTAAAGCCATGGAATCATATGAGATCACATAAGGAATGATCTTTCACATTTCCACATTTATAGATGAGGAAATTGAGGCTCAGACAAGTTAACTGAATTGCTCAAGGTCTCACAGCTAATAATTTGTGGAAGCAGCCTTCCAATTTAGTCCTGACTTTCAGCCCAAGAGCTTTCCACTAAGTCACACTGTCTTCCAAAGAAAAGACAAATACTGGCATCCCAAAGCGTCATTTCTCAATTACTTTTCTACTCATTCTAACTGGTCTGCCATTGACTACCACTCATATAGGGGAATACAAAATAGAAAAGCATAGAAAAGAAAGGAGATATAAATATTTTTCTTGCTAAGTATATCATACTTGAGTCTTAGGTCTTACAGTGTTTTTCCCCTTATCCATTTTCCTGTCAAGAAGTGGTTATCATGGGAAAAAGTTATTGCTAGTTAGCAATAATAATTAATCAGATGGGAGTTATTCTTTTTGTTTTTTGGCAGCTGGTTGGTAAGAGGATCTAAACCCCTGACCTTGGTGTTACAAAGCTGCACTCTAACCAACTGAGCTAACCGGCCAGCCCTGGGAGTTGTTCTTAACAGGTTCTTTCATACCATCCCAGACCATTCCAACTTCACTCAGAGGGATGTGACTAGATAAAGGAGTATGTAATTATTTCCATTATTGGATTTTACCATCCAGTAATCTGTTATCAATGTTCCTAGTTTTAATCACTGGTAAGAAAAATACCATTTTCTATTTTTGGCAGCTTTCTTTAGCCACATCAGGTTAAATTTAAGCAAGATGAGGATAAGTAGCAGACATAGCATTCACTGAAAGAAAGAAGTAATAACAACGTTCACATAGTAGTGAATGAGAAAGCTCTGATGAGAGTACCATTCTATACTGTCCCTTAAAAAAACAAGAAAAAACAAAACAAAAAACCCTCTCCATTCTCTTTCTTTGGAGATAATGAACCCAAGCTATATATAAATCAGCTCCATAGAAAGTAAAAATCAGAGGCCAGCCACAAAAACAAACAAACAAAAAAGAAATTAAGAATAAGAGACAGAGAATGTAGAAACAGAATGAGAAATAAGAATTATGCAAAGGCTGGTTATGTTGGAATAAGGGGGAAAAAAGGCACGCACACTGCAACAGTTTTCTTTTAGAAAGTAATAAACAAGACCTAATGTGTTGCTATTTTAATTTTATATAAACAGAAGAAAATAAAGTAGACTACAAAAAGTGTCATAAATGGGTCTGGAATGATATGGACAGAAAAACAACATAGATGGGACTAAACTAAGCTTTATCACAAATAAATGAGCACATACTTGCTCTTTTACCTTCCTGCTCCCATATTCATACCACACACACTCTCACACAATATCAGATTAAAACATCCTACCGTTCTTGGCTCCAAATTTTTATATGAAAATAGATGAGTATGTGGTGTATATATCATGTATTTCCTAAGATTAGACATGAAATGGCTAAACAATTATTTAAATGAGGATTCCAAGTATGAAGTGACCCTTCGTATTCATAATGCTACATACAGAGAGCACAGATTCTAGCACACTGGAATTGCAAAGAACACACAGATTGGGGGGGAGGCACCTGGCAAAGGGGTGACAGGAAATTATGGGATCACATCAGTATACCATCAATTTAAAATATAGGCAGTCATTATTTTTTATGGTACTTAAGAAGGAAGCAAATCTTCAGTAGAAATCAAATGATACAAGGCTGTTTTTTGAGTTAAGTAATAAGCAAAGACTAAGACTTTTCTATACATAATAGGAAAAGAACCTTAAGAATCTATAAGAAAGAAAAAAAAGAAGATTCCATATTGAGTTGAAGAACAGCCAAAATAACTAAGAGTTATCATCAGATACTTGGTAAGGAGGACCTGAAAGATGATGACAGATCTTCACTGAATAGCATTGGTAGTTATCATCTGTTTATGAATAAGCTAAATTAACATTTAGTAAAATGTATATATGAAATCTTCAAGTACCTCCTAAAAAGGAATTTAAATCCTGATGAGAAGAGATGACACAGAGAAGGAGAAAAATCAGATGCAGTTTGGGTACAATGAGAGAGGAGCTGGAGTTTTAACAAAATACAAGAACAGGAGATTTGAATGTAAGCATGAACAATATAAGGAGATGAAACTAAGACTCCCTACATACAAGAGCTTCTCTTACAAAGAGGGAATTGAAAGTCTGTGCTCATCAAGACAGGAAGGCCACAAAGCAGCTTATCTCCTTCCCAAGACTCTGTCCAGGAGGTTTAAAAAAAAAAAGAAAGGAGCTTCTTGAAGTGTGGAATCAAAGTATATGGCCTCTATGGAACACTATTCACCAAGTGGAGAAGTTAATATAAAATAATAACTCTTAGAATGGTGAAACCTCTGGGGTATCTGACAAAAGTACAAAAAAAGTACCTGGGGCCGGCCCGTGGCTCACTCGGTAGAGTGCGGTGCTGATAACACCAAGGCCGCGGGTTCGGATCCCATATAGGGATGGCCGGTTTGCTCACTGGCTGAGCGTGGTGCTGACAACACCAACCCAAGGGTTGAGATCCCCTTACCGGTCATCTTTAAAAAAAAAAAAGTTCTCTGTCTGGAGGGGAGTCTTACCACAGTGCTCTCAGATCACTCCTGATTTCCAAGAGGAATAATTTCTTCAGTGACAAAGAACTCAATGGTCTCCTCCTCCCAGTCATCTACGTTGCTGTCCAGCTCGTCAGTGT